ATCCACAGTTGTTATGTGTAGTAGTTACTAATATCATCCACAGTTGTTATGTGTAGTAGTTACTAATATCATCCACAGTTGTTATGTGTATTAACTACTAATATCATCCACAGTTGTTATGTGTATTAACTACTAATATCGTTCACAGTTGTTATGTGTATTAACTACTAATATCGTCCACAGTTGTTATGTGTATTAACTACTAATATCGTCCACAGTTGTCATGTGTATTAGCTATTAATATCGTCCACAGTTGTTATGTGTACTAGTTACTAATATCATCCACAGTTGTTATGTGTATTAGCTACTAATATCGTCAACAGTTGTTATGTGTATTAGTTACTAATATCGTCCACAGTTGTTATGTGTATTAGCTACTAATATCGTCAACAGAGTCGTCTGTAGCAATTCCAACCCCTACCACCACATGCACATAAACGTATTTTCCACATCTCATCTTCACAACCACACGCACATACAGACACCGGAAAAACCCCAGTGGACCCCCTTGGGAAAGTACGTAATTACGAGATTTGTGGGTCCATTTTAGCCTTTACTACATACTACACACTCATAATATATCTGCTCCACATCCTCAACCATCATCATATACATGTAGTAAGTCTGCTCCACATCCTCACCATCGTCATATACATGTAGTAAGTCTGCTCCACATCCTCAATCACCATCATATACATGTAGTAAGTCTGATCCACATCCTCAACCGTCATCATATACATGTAGCAAGTCTGATCCACATCCTCAACCGTCATCATATACATGTAGTAAATCTGATCCACATCCTCAACCGTCATCATATACATGTAGTAAGTCTGCTTCACATCCTCAACCATCATCATATACATGTAGTAAGTCTGCTCCACATCCTCACCATCATCATATACATGTAGTAAGTTTGATCCACATCCTAAACCATCATCATATACATGTAGTAAGTTTGATCCACATCCTAAACCATCATCATATACATGTAGTAAGTTTGATCCACATCCTAAACCATCATCATATACATGTAGCAAGTCTTCTCCACATCCTCTCAATACCACTACAGGCATATAACAATTCTTTTCCACACACTCCCACCCCCGATACCACAACTTCAGGCACATAGTAAGTCTTCTCCACATCCCCTCACTTACACTACAGGCACGTAGGAAGTCTTCTCCACATCCCCTCACTTACACTACAGGCACGTAGGAAGTCTTCTCCACATCCCCTCACTTACACTACAGGCACATAGGAAGTATTCTCCACATCCCCTCACTTACACTACAGGCACATAGGAAGTCTTCTCCACACCCCCTCACTTACATTACAGGCACATAGGAAGTCTTATCCACACCCCCTCACTTACACTACAGGCACATAGGAAGTATTCTCCGTAGTGTAAGTGAGGGGATGTAGGCACACAGGAAGTATTCTCCACACGCCCCACCACCACTTCACACACAGAACAAGTTGTTGTAAGTCTTTCTTCAGCATTCATGTTAATTAAAATACAGATTTTTACTTAAAATAATAAAAAGTAAATAGAAAAGGTCAGAATGCAACTGTAAAAAACAAGATGTCGTTGTTTGTAACTGGACTTACCGGTATCCGTATCTGTTGGGCTGAGATCTTAGCGTCACAAAGATTTTCAGAAACAAGACACGAGTGATGTTCACAAAAAATACGAAGTTGACCTGGTTATAAAATACAAACATAATCTTAGTTTTACACTGAAGAAGAAAAATACGGTGTGGCCAAAATATATATGTTTAAGCCTAATGGCGTATATGATGGAAAATTAACAGAACTTGCTTAATACTTACTTTTTCTTACATCTGTAAGAATCACATTATTAAAACCTCCACCTGGTGTCAGTTTTACACCACCCTTTGTCATGACAACAGTGAGTACCACAGGACTCAAACTCAAGTTTAGTATATCTTTAGTTGTGTCAGAACACTCACATTTTGCATAACCTGTTGCAAAAATTGTCGGTAGCTATAAAGACGTACTTGAATTTCTCATAAATAACTCATCCTGGGTCTTCACTTTCTGCTCTAAGTGTTTAGTCTTAATTTCTGTAACTATTATCCTTGTCTAAACTATAACTGTAAAAGTAAATACTCACTACAATACTTGGGAGAGTGTCCCACTATCCAGTGAAGCCAAGACTGCCAGAATGTTGTGGGTAAAGAAAGTACGAAAAACCGTGACCTGTTTGCAGTGAGATTGAGAACATGGACTGTTATGTCTGAACCTTGTGGTCATTATGACCCACTGAAAGTACAGGATGAAATACTGTATTGATGCAGTGTTTTCTTGAGCATGAGGCACGTGGAAATCTAATTCCATACATTTCGGAAGAGACGTTTGTGTTTCTGTTGGATTTATCCGAGCCAAGTTAAAATATTGTAGATTTTAAGAATGCAGATGATAATATGTTTGTGCTTAGCTCAGATTATCAATGGCACATCTGAGATTGAAGAAGAAGACAACATTGCATTCTTAGAGGTGAGAAAAAGCTGCTTTGAGATTCAGAAGTATCAGGTACCCTCACCAGAGGGGCACTAAGTCTTAAACAGACCTTTTTAAAATCTATCATGTCAACATGGATGAGAGAAGAGGGTTTTTAAATGGCACGAATCACCTTTAGGATCAGGGTTGAGCTCTGGAAACTACTTGGTAAACAACACAATGTGAGATCTGATGTAAATTAGCTGATGAGTGTGACTGACAGGCAACATTCATGTGCTGACAAGTACCATGATTTGCTTAACAACTGGATGGGCAGCGCCATCTCTAGATTTCTAATAAAAGGACTCACCAAAAGGTGAGATGTAACTACTTGGTTAGATACACCTAGTTAAGCTATTGTGGTATTTGTTGACTGATAACAAAACAATATCTTGATAGGATGAAACTTACTCTGCGAACTTGCGAAGGTATTTGGTTCTGGTGTTATTGTCTGAAACTATTTATGTGTATATCTGTGTGTGTACAAATATTTTCCAAAGCCGTTTACTTTACCTGCTCTGTTCCTTTCAATAGAATATAGGGTTTCCTTACTGATGAGACAAAATAAACACAAATCAAATAAACGCCCGTGAAATATGTCGTTACTTGTTTCTTTACCTGAGTAGGTGTTCAAAAATGTTTATACATAAAACTACATTTAGATGAGAAAGCTATATAAATATATATACTTTTCTTTATTTGGTGGAATGAGAACTATAGAGAGCTACAAGTAAAAATGTGTATCTATATAAATATACTCGTATATACTTTTCTTTATTTGGTCGAATGAGAACTATAGAGAGCTACAAGTAAAAATGTGCAATCTATATGAACAAACGTCAATATACGTGTGTATATCTGTTCCTTATACATTTCCACATTTCTTTATCAATCAGCACCTCACGTGACAGAGTGATACAGGATGACATAAGGAAGGTCAGAGGGAGTACCGACCTACAGTTAAAGGTACTAGGGTACTTACAGACCTACAGTTAAAGGTACTAGAGTACTTACAAACCCACAATTAAAGGTACTAGGGTACTTACAAACCTGCAGTTAAAGGTACTAGGGTACTTACAAACCTGTAGTTAAATGTACTAGGGTACTTACAGACCTACAGTTAAAGGTACCAGGGTACTTACAGACCTACAGTTAAAGGTACTAGAATACTTACAAAACTACAGTTAAAGGTACTAGAATACTTACAAACCTGCAGTTAAAGGTACTAGGGTACTTACAAACCTACAATTAAAGGTACCAGGGTACTTACAAACCTACAGTTAAAGTTACTAGGGTACTTACAAACTTACAGATAAAGGTACTAGGGTACTTACAAACCTGTAGTTAAATGTACTAGGGTACTTACAAACCTACAGTTATAGGTACTAGGGTACTTACAAACCTACAATTATAGGTACTAGGGTACTTACAAACCTATAGTTAAAAGTACAAATCTTAACTTCTATGAGTATAAATGGATAATTCTATATTCAGATAAGCGGGAATAGAAACCTACATTTAAGTGATATACAAACTTACCCCTACATCAGAAGATAATGTACAGTTTTACACTTACAGGAAGATATACTAATACGTACCTAAGTGAATACATTTTATATCATTATCATCATCAGTAAGACGAAAAGAAGAATATTCGAATCAACTCTGAGATGACGAAATATTGACATTTCTTAACATAATGCATCACCAACAAGATTTTATTAGTCCCAGAGAGACAAACTTACAATAATTGTCGTTGTGATAGGTGCCCGGATGATCCAGAAATACCCAGGATTGTCATTCGTTGTCCAACACCTAGAGGAAGAAACTTAACAAAGTCAGGCGTTATGTAAATTTATTCAAAGAATCTTAACAGTTATGATAAACTCGAACCACACTCCGCAATCTGTACTATCTCTGTTAACTGCCACTTGCTCAAGAATTGATTGAACTTAACTCAGAGAAAGCTAAATATATCAAAAGTTTCGTGAAGTTTCAGGTAATTAATAACAAAATATTTATAGCATTATTGTGTACGTAAGCCTTGTTTTTTTTTCCGACTACAAACACCAGAAACTGACTGAATAATTCAAAGAAACGAAGACAACTTACAGCGTGTCTTCCAGCAGTGCACGTACTACAACCCATGGAATAATGAACAAAAGCGGAAGACCTGGGTTGAAAAAAAAGAATAAAACCGGTACATATTATCGAACCTGGTGTAACTTAACAGTACAGACCAATTTTGATGAAATATTCCAAACCAATAGGATGAAAAATTGTTATAAAAACCAAATTAACAGCAGACGTATTTTTCTCTATATTCCTCTTAAATTTTCCATTGTAGCTCGAAATCAGAGGCCTATTTTCTAACGTTTGGACGACTTTAGGCGTTTAAACAGTAACTTTTAAAGCATTATATTACACACACATATATATATATATATATATAAGTAACATTTCAAAAAATAATAATTTGGCTCTCATCGTCCAGCTCAACTGATGAGTTCTGTCACTGTACGAAAGGCCTCTTGAGCACTAACCTACGGGAAGTGAAAGATATATCTCAAATGTTATATGTATTTACACATCTCGAGTTGTGATTGACAAATCCAAAATAATGCAGTAAAACAGCAGTCACTTGTCTTTATACCAATATATATCTTTTATAACAATATATATCTTATGATACTCCTGAGTTTGTCTTAATTGTTATTATTTCTACAATAAGTATAGAGGATACATTACACAAACTATTAAACAACCACAACTTACTTTACACAAACTATCAAAGAACCACGACTTACTTTACACAAACTATCAAAGAACCACAACTTACTTTACACAAACTATTTAACAACCACTACAGACTTTACACAAACTATTAAACAACCACAACTTACCTATGATGTTGTCATTAAGACATTAATCTGTTTAGGCTATATATTTTTGGAATAATTTATATATCTTCAGGTGTAGTGGTTGTTTGATAGTTTGTGTAAAGTCTGTAGTGGTTGTTTGATAGTTTGTGTAAAGTAAGTCGTGGTTGATTTCAATTATAAAGTAAGAAACTAAAAAGACTTGTATTGAGAAAGGTAGGTGATTTTGTTCATGAATTTCTCAAATAGTTACGATAAGTATTCCTATCTTACATGATGAAACTGTTTATTATACGATATTGGTTTATTTGATTTACTTACCCCAGCCCATTATGACGTACATGGAGATACCATTGTTATCAGTAAACATAGCCAAAAATATAAGATTGTGAAGGTAAAGTCCTTCCATGAGGATCCAACAGTAATTAGCCATCAAAAAATAGTGCCAGAGACTGGTGAACAGTTTACAGTCTATATTCTGTAATAATAGAACCCATTATTACAGAATATAGACTGTAAACTGTTCACCAGTCTCTGGTACTATTTTCTGATGGTTAAATAACATTTAACCATCAGAAAATAGTACCATAGACTGGTGAACAGTTTACAGTCTATATTCTGTAATAATAGAGCATTTAATTATCAGAAAATAGTACCAGAGACTGGTGAACAGTTTACAGTCTATATTCTGTAATAATGGAGCATTTAACCATCAGAAAATAGTACCAGAGACTGGTGAACAGTTTACAGTCTATATTCTGTAATAATAGAGCATTTAACCATCAGAAAATAGTACCAGAGACTGGTGAACAGTTTACAGTCTATATTCTGTAATAATAGAGCATTTAATTATCAGAAAATAGTACCTGAGACTGATGAACATTTTACAGTCTATATTCTGACAGTCTATATTCTG